CTGTAGAATATTTCAATCAGAGTGAGTCATGCCACTTTATTATCTACTGATCTATATATAAAATATTAGATTGTTAGGGTGCATAAAATTTTTCTGTAAACGACTTTTAATAGTTTATTAAAAATATTATTTGGTAGAGTAGAAAATAATTGAAAATAAGCTGCTAAAAAAGTACCCTCTTATATCTATCATGAATCTAATTTTTATTTACAGCCTAATGATATACTCTGATACTTTGATTTAAGTGTTTATCATATTCCCTTAATAACGTTTTTAATTGTGATCCTTAAAATTTATCAAAAAATATTGATTAGTTTTTTAAAGAGCCTCAGCAAATCAGAAACGTTCTGGTGACTCTACAATAAAATAATTCTAAATGAAAACAATGAGAAACTTCTTTTTAAAATTGTACACAAATAACTTAATAAATCTCATACAGTTTAATTAATAATAGTCTAATTCTTTTAAGACATCCCTTGCATGATAATATTAATAGTCGATATCAGAATAAAAACTTTACCATATGATAATGTTATTTTTGCTAGCACTTACCATCAATCTGATCTTATTATGTAACTTCAAAACAGTTTTGTAATAAAAACTATATTAGTCTTTCTAAATGAAATATCATAAAGGAAGCTTCTATTTTGCGTGAAATTAGTTCAATACGTAGACTTCGGAAAGACACGGAAATGATTAGCATTACAGTGTACATGCAAACAATGGTAAGGAAGTCAGTCGAACACATTTCTGATTTTGACATAAGAAGAATTGTTACTTACAGAAGGTGTGTATTATATTTCTGAGAAATTAGGGCTCATTCTAGACCAAATCAGGAAAAAACAATACAAATATGAAATCATTGAGTACGGAACGGATGGTTTGACAGACAAGAAGCTAGGAAGAATCCTTGTTGCATTACCAAAGGTAAATCCAGACATGATGTGCGCTTTGCAACAACGGATCATGCTGTAACTTCAAATATCCTAACGCAAGAACTAGGCTCTGTTTTACAACAACCAGTATCATCCCATACAATTTGACAAATACGATAATTTTAAAGTTAGTATTAGATGAGTCGAATAAATAAACAGTCTTTATTTGTGTGGGTCACATGGTGTTGACGTCTGCGTGAGCCACCTGCTATCCGTATGTAACATTCGACAGAAGCTGAATGACTTTCGGCAATCACTGACGTGGGTTACAACTGCACTTACTACGAAACCCACAATAACTTACGTTACTTTTTTGTTAAGTTCTATTAAAATTTTAGTCGAAAGACTTGGTCCATCGTATTATTTAAAACTCGTGACACTCACAAACACATAGTATATTCAGTTCTATCATCTATTCATTTGAATTAGGGAAGAGCACTAAGCCTTCTCCAAAAGTAATTTTAGTGTTTACTATCTGATTGTATAAGAAGAGATTTTTACATCCACATTCCACTGCTGTAGTCGAGATCCCAAAAGTTTAGATTTACTGTTTGGTAAAATCTTAGGTATTAATCGTGAACGAGATTATTCGATTCGTAATTCGAGGTGAGGTTTTGGATGAACTAAATCAGTTGGATACTCTTCATCGTCATCGGTGAACGTTATTGGTTCAGTTTTGGGCTCAAAGTTTTCCAAGTTCGTTTCCGGCTTTAGAGTATAAGTTTTTGTTGGTACTGGTATAGGCAAGGATTTTTTGTGAGGAACGGTTTTACATTGAAGTGGTGTTAGGATATTGAATTGTGTGCTTACTTTTACTAGATAACATGACGACGGAAGTCATTCAAAAGTAACAATATGCCAGATAGCAACGAGGTGTAAGCCAAACCCTGGGCACAACGCAAAAGGCGATTTATGGATACCTTTAAACCATTTGATCAAGCTACCGTGATAGGTTGTGCAGCACGACTTTGGGCCCAGTTTTTTACTTGATCTCCAAATTGGCAATCTTAGTAAAAAAATGACAAGCCATGCACGCGTTTCAAGAAATGAAGAAAGTTGCTTTCATTGCGCTTTTAAAATCAATTAACTGTAAACACAAAAGAGGGGAAGATTTTTACACACTCGTAACATAATAAAATTAACATCAAATCAGTGCTCGGTATTAGTTAACAACTTTACATTCATATACTTGAATTCACTTTTAAAAAGCTGGAGAAAAAACAGAGCGCTTAACCCGGAAGCTGTCCCGCACTCGATACTAACGTTAGCGGTCACGCGGAGTGATGGAATCACCCCAATCCCTTATTTATTATTTTTACTGTACGCAACAAAAATAGTAATTCCACTGAATAATTTAATTAAGATAAAGTATACTTAACTACTTGTAAGGATTTTTCAATTTTTCTTTGATAATTTGAGAAACAAATCCAATCAAAATGAGCTAAAAGGTTTAAAATGTGCGTAACTTTAATAAAGAACTCAAATCACAGGCACTTTTTGTTAACACTACAGGGATGATACTTGCAGTTAAAACTGCCGTATTTTGTTCAAACTATTGTAGTTTTATTGTCCTTAGAAGGCCGACAAATGGCCTGTTGGGTTATTTCTTGCTTGTATCTTGTGATACACTTGTGGCTTTATATCTTTCTTGATGGAGCTTTTTAGGTAGCATTTGAACATTTTCCTTTCAAATGAAACATTTCATGTTCACCGCTTTTTTCGAATTTACTTTAGCTATCATGATTAATATCCATTATTTCATCAGGCTCTTCCCTTGCTTGATCTGTTTCAATTTCCTCCAATAGAGATCACAGATGTCCATTTCTTTTTTCATATTCCATTAATTTACAGTTATAAACCATAATGAGTCGTACAACACAGCAATAAAAACCACTGTCATCCACAGGGGGCAAATGTAGCCTGTTCATAGAATATATTTTGGAACAAGTGGTAGCGCGAGGAACTCAGTCACCCCGAATACACCTTAAGATTGTAAAAAAACGTTTGACACTCCCTAAAAAACGGGAGATAAGTGACAAATATATTTTAGTTCCCATGAGGAGTGTGTGACGGGGCTTTTATCACGATTTCCATTAATTATCCTCTTGGGATTCTTTGGGGCCAGAATGGCAATTCTTTCCAACCAACTCAAGAAGAGAACGTGTGTACTCAAATTAGGAATCATATATATTTGAAGTTTAGCATTCGCGAGATCGCAAAGTGAAGTCGCTAAGTAGAGAAGTAGTTGCAAAGTGATATAAGATAAAGTCTAGAAGAAGAATCTTAATTCTGGGAATTAGCCTAGCCGTGCCGGTGCAGACGAATCAAAAGTGGATTCGAGACCAACGGAGCATAGCCTAAGCAAGAGCCAACCAGATTAAAGCTAGAACGGAAGTTTTAAGAACCATAGCTGTTTACCCAGGATATAGCGGTAAGCTAGATCAATTAAACTTTAAGTATAAGGCGTTTACTATTGAGATAGGATTTAATCTATAACGATAGAATCAGTGGTTACTTGCGCTATCTATTAGAAATACGTGTTGCATCTTCTCATTCTTTATCATCATCCTCTTAGATTAGTATTGTTGTTGTGTTGTGTTTAAACTAAGATCTTAATAAACAGATCTTAGTACGAACGAATTTAGTAGTTCTTCGTTCCTTCCCACAGATATAGGTCTCGTGAATAGTGAAGAGCGGGTGTCCCCATCGGCGGAGACACCACAAGTGTCATATAGAAGGATACTGTCAAGGTCATTGCTAACGAAAAATCAGTTTTCCCAGAATTAAAAATTTCGTGAGCCTAGGGTGACTCTGTATCCCCACGCTACTGCTCCCGAGATAATAAAATTCCAACAAACTAAAAACACAAAATCATTGCCTGGAATACCGCGAAGTTGACCGAAACATGTACTGAGGGAAGATTACGCGATAAACGGCGATTACAGTGAAAATAACAATAAATTTTTAAATGAGTCAAAGCAGATTTACCGATCAAAACTCGAAGCGTGGGACTGACTCAGAGTGGCGATGTTGTACAGTGAATCTTCCAAACTTTTTTGAGAGAGCTTTGGAGCCACTTCCACCTCATTAACTTTTAGCAGAAATTTGTGCTGTATATTTTCATTATTTGAAATATTTGTGCGAAGAAAAAGGGGGCTGGGGACTGGAATATGAAGAAAATAAATGAAAAAATTACAAAAAAAAAAGAGAGAAACCGATGATTTTAATCGATTTTTTTACTCAAGGCAGTATGCCACCTCCCCTTGGCTACAAATGTTCATGTCTTAGAACTTTCTCCTCTGTAGTTGGTCCCTCAGAAGTAATTTAACGGTTAATTTCCCTATTTCTTTATCAAATCCATGGTCATAAAATTTCGAAACAGTAATAAAAAAAGTAATATATAAAAAAAATTAAGTCAATTCCCACTTAGATCAACAAAATTTTTTTTTATTTTAGTTACCGTAAAATCCGGCGTATAACGCACACCTATACTTTCAAACTGCATTTGTTAACTTTTGGGTATATTCGTTGTATAACGCTCACCCTCATTTTTAAAAAGAAACTTGAAATGTGCATGTGTAATTCTATTACGTTTTAAAGTCATTTATATTCGAGGTATTAAGCTAAGTTTTTGAAAAGTATAGTATATTTCCTGAACTGCGCAACTCTTTAAGTTCATAAAGAACATCATTTCTTGAAAATAAACAGTATTTCCGTATATGTAGAAGAAAATTTTTTTTCTTGCCCATCTTTTTTTTAAAGCTACTATTTTTATGTCCTGCGTATAACGCGCCCCCATCAATTTCGATATTATTTTTCGTATTAAGAGCACGTGTTATACGCCGGATTTTACGATACTTTTTATTAAATAGACACAATTAATTTTAATATGTATAAGCATATGACAGAATCACAATATTAAGGGACAAAATAGAAAGCGATTTTCTTTTTTCTTTTCTATGTATGGTGTTGGACTATTTTTTTTGTTACTATTTATTCATTCATTAAATTTAATTATTCTAATAAAATAGTATAGTAAAAAAAAAAAATTCTCAGAAATTAGGCCATCCCAGATGGGTCTCGAACCCACGACCCTTGGATTAGAAGTCCAACGTGCTAACTATTGCACTGCAGGGACGCAACGAACTTTTTCCTTTCTATATATGCTATTGGATTATTATTTTTGTTTGTTAGTATTTATTCATTTTATAATTTAATTAATAAATTAATATTTGAAAAGTCTGTGTATTGACATCAAGTGACTTCCATTACAAGTTTAAAAAATGTATTTGAATTAGAATGGATGAATTATTAACGATCGAAATTTTGAACAAGATATATATATTTTTATATATATATATATAGGGATAGAGTGAACTAATAGTAGGAATTGAAACAGAGAAAATGAAGGGGTACAAAAAGGGTGTTATATTTAGATTCAGGAGGTCATTTTACTTAAGAATTCGTAGGAAAGGTGTTGGGGACTGTTCATACTGAACAGTATAATCTGAAACATGTTCGATATCTCCTCTTCAACCACTTAAAGTTTTGCATTTTTTTTTCTTCTCCGATTCCCAAAACAATTACAGAAAGCAAACCCCATAATTCACGACTAAATCACAGGCCAAATTCTATTACTCGACCTTTCTCATTTTCCAAAAATAAACCTTCCTTATGGTGCGTTTTATTGGCAGCCTACGCCAAGGCGTTAACTCAATTACAAGGATGAATGCCTCTCGGGACCTAACGCTTAAACGAGATGTTCTAGTCTTAGTTATTAGTTAGAGGTAATCTCATATAGGATAAGCAGCCTTCGTATTTGTTTTCCACAGAGTAAATTACTTTTTAATATTTCTGGCAGCCAAGATTCATTTAACTTCTCTGATTATTCAGATGAACTTCTAAATAATGCATAGCTCAAGAACTTTCTTTCGAACTAATTATTACTGAGCAGCAGGAAGCAACTCATAATTAAGACAATGAACTAATGCTTTAAGTAACCTAAAGTTTTTTTTTATTTTTCTGCGAGAAGAGATTATTTTTTCCTTACAGTATTTAACAACATTTTTTATAAAGAAATGCCTTGTAGTTAAGGCAGTGTTTCTCAAACTGTGGGGCGCACCCCCCCTGGGGGCGCGATACCCCCTGCGAGGGGGCGCGAGCATATTAAAAATATAAAAGGCATAAAAAATTATTTTTGGAATGAAGTAAAAAAATGCTTTCTGAAAAAGTAAAAATGCACATTTACACTGATATAATTTATATATATCATCTGGTTTTCCACTTTCAAACGCTCATTAGCTATCTTTGATCCTAAAACCAAATAAAAAAGATATTTTGTTTGCTTTCCTGTAATCCATGAGAGATTTTTTTATTACGTTCCTTTTAACCCTTAGAATACTACTTTTGATTATCATCTCTTTGACCTTCAAGCCTACTGGCATGTTTAACTCCGTCTCTTTTTCTTTTAGGAAAGCTGTAAATAATATTTTTCTGTTGCTTTTCCCCATGTAAAATGAGTTTTATGATATATGGATAAGCATATTGAGAGCACTTTGAAGGATTATTTGGCCAAGATGTATTTTTATGAGTTGTATGAGATGTATTTTATGAGTTTTAAACTATTTTTTAAAACTGACATCGATGTTTTTGTATCGAATTCACTTTTTGCATGGGAGCAGTCGCGTGAGGCGCTGAATCACTCAAAATTCTGGTAAAACTGTTTATTCGTTAACAGTGACCTTGACAGTATCCTCCTATTAGACAGTCTTAATGGAAACTCAAATGAATTTGTCGCATGTATGCCTCTTTTGAGAGTGGCAAACGGTTTTTTACAATCAAGGTACTTGTTTTGATCGAGTTCCCTGCACGACCATTTTTATTCAAAAATATTTTCTATGAATATGCGTTACTTCCCCCTATGATTAACTTTGTGGTTTTGATTGCTGTGTTGTATGACTTATTATGGTTTATAAATGTAAATGAGCAGAATATAAGAAAATGGGCATTTGTGATCTCTTTATTGAAGGAAGATGAAACTGATCAAGCAATTGAAGAACCTGATGAAATAATGCATATTAATCGTGATAGCGAAAGTAAATATGAGAAAAGCGATAGGCATGAAACGTTTGAGTTGAATTGAAATTTTCAAATGCTGCCTAAAGAACTCTATCAAAAAAAACTATGAAGCCATAAATGTAGCACTTCGCCTTGTCAAAAGACGCAAAAGAAGAAAAGGTTCAAAATGCTTATTTGTAGATCATCAAACGACAGCAAAACGTGAACAAATTATGATAGTTTTACTGGAAAATAACGTTTCTGTATTAGCGAAAAGTGTCTGTGATACATGTCCTTTATTAAAGACACGCACATTTGGAACATTTTCTTAGTTTTATTGGATTTTTCTCAAATCATCAAAGAAAAATTAAAAAGTCCTTGAAAGTAGGTAAGTATATTTTCTCTTAATTAAATTATTCCCTGGAATTTTTGTGTGATTTTTATCGTGTATAGTAAAAATGATTATAAAACAAGTTATAGTTTAAAAACAAACTAAAAAAAACACGCTTTTATAGTGAATCGAACTAAAAATAAAATAAAAATATATATACTTAAAAGTAACACATATACAAAATTTAATACTTATCTTGTTAATTTGTACGGTTTATAATTATGATCATATTGTAGCTTTAGCGCCAAAAAGTGTATTATTATCGCATTCAATACATTATTATTTTTAGGGGCGCGATAAAAATTATGATTGAAAATTGTGTCGCCAGTAGTTAAAGTTTGAGAACCACTGAGTTAAGGTATTTTCACGATTTTTTAGTAACATTTGAATCTATATTTTTGGAATTTGTCTCTTACTTAGCTAAGCCATCTGATTATAAAATTTTCTAAAATTCTTCATTCTAATCCACCTCATTCATTTTTATTTGATTTAGATATTACTTAATTACAACGTTTGTAGATTTTTATTTTGAAAAGTTAAAAACTACGAAATTATTCTATGCAAAAAAAGGTTTGAAAGAAAAGATAATTTTTTTTCTTCATAAAGAACTCCATGAGTACAAGTCATTAGAAACCAATTAGCTGTCAATGTTTCTGGTCGATGAGGGAATATCAGTAGTGTTCTACACATACTACAAAAAGGCGATAGAATTGGTTTGCAGGGTCACCACCACTTATCAGTGGAGGCTTCAATCCAACGTCCGGACGTTTTGTGACGGGCTCTCATCGCGATTTCCATTAATGTCCTCTTGGGGTTCTTTGGGGCCAGAACGGCAATTATTTCCCACCAATTCTAGAAGAAGAACGTGAGAATGCAAATTAGGAATCTTATATATAGTAGAAGTTTAGCGTTCGCGGGGTGGTTATGTGAAGTTGCTATATGAGGTCTGTGTTTATGATTAGAAGCGATTAAGTTAAAGTTAGAGGAAATTCCTAGTTCAAGAATTAACATACCCGTACCTGTATATTCAAGCTAAAGGTGGATACCATTCCACAAGGAATAAAGCCACGTCAGTTAGGACCAAGAGAATAGCTGTTACCTAGGATATAGCGGTAAGCGTCTTAAATTAAGATATAGGGAAACTGCGTGTATTAATGAGAATAGAGGTAATCTGTAAAGTTAGATATAGTGGTCAATTACGTGCGATTATTTGGTAATACGAATTGTGTCTTCTCACTCCAGATTCACTTAATTTGATTACTATTATTATTGTATATAGTGTTTAAGTTAAGATCTTAAGAAACAAATATTAAGTTGACAGATTTGCATGATTCTTCGTTCTTTCCTACAGGTACAGGTCGCGTAGATAATGTAGAAATGGAGCCCCCAAAGGTAGGTGCCTGATAGTTTCTTCGGCCACGCTGGCGCGTCTCAGATGTGTCACATTTCTTTGTTCCATCTGTCTTTGCACCGTGAATGTGTTTAAGTGGGTGCCAGCTAGATTTAGCATATGAATCATCCGGCTCTTCTCAGTCCAATCACCATGATTCTGGTAGTCAGCCGCGCCTGCTGTAACGGCTCCATTGGTGATGGTCTAGCAATCTTTGTTATTTACACGTGTTCTTTGAGATAAGAAATATAATAATACGAATAATGCTCATTTTGCACATTCCTTCCTCTAAATCCTACTCGACATATACTGAAGAGCTTTGCAGTACATGGAACTTGAAATTTACATAATTTTCTCGTCTTCTTAGTGTCGCATTTTCAATGTCACAAAGTGTATTTATTGATTAATTTTTGTATCATGAAAATTATTTTTCTTTTTAAATTAATATAACTTTAAATTTTAATTTTTTTAATACTTTAAAAAAAGCAGCTCTTTTTTTTATTAATAGCCTAAACTCAAATTGTACATTAAATCCTTAATTATAAAATTCTTGATACTTTGGAAATGTTAAAGTAATTCTGTAACTGCATTAAAAATGAATCTTCTTGTTCTTTTCTACTAAACCTTTTAGGAGTTCAACTTCCTTAACGTTACTTAATTGTTAAATAAAAAAAACATACGTTCTAATAATTATTTAATTGAAAAGTGCTTTAAAAATTGGGCACTGAAGGCAAAAATAATAATAATAAAGTGTGTATTGAAAACTCTATTATATATATTATGTATTTTAACTTTGAAGTTCAAACCTCAAAAGAAAATTTAAAAACTGTTCATTATAAAGGAGGATCATTGATTATTATCATTCGATTGAAAGAAAAGTAATAAAGTTTCGTGTTCGTGGTTCTCTCCAATTTTTAAGCAAAATGTCTTTTAGTTGATAAACGATAGTTATTTTGTAAAGATATTTTGGTTTGGGTTGAAAATATTTTATTAATAAACAATGTTCATTATTGTTGGAAGACAGAGTACTGAATACACAGCCTCCTTATATGATTATATTTCAAAATCTGGAAGAGAAAACTCTGCGTCAGTTTTCATGCAACCATTTTTACAAATACTTTAAAAATCCGTTTCACTTTTCTTTTGAAGAAATTGCGGCACAGAAAAAGGAATTTGCAAAATTCAAAAATATATAATAAAATTATTTTAAATCTTAAATTTATTTGAATAAAAAATCGGCTTCGGAACTCAACGGTTTTAAATTATCTGTATTCTGATATGTACTCAAAATATTCAAATT